GTGCAGATTTCAGAAAGGTGTGTTGGCGTTAATGTAAATATCTCCGGTCGCAGAAGTTTCTCTCATCATAAAATTACTGCCCTAATTTCATTTAATTGCCATTTTACGATGCTACGATAGTTGTCAAAATATCCTGTAAATACAAAAGAAAACCTTATTTTGCGTCTCAGATATGATATCTAAAACAGGATTTTATTCTACTGTAGTCATAACAACGAATCTTTTTAGGTGTGCAGTAATAGTGCGCCTTCTGTTTCTGTTCTCATCGCCAGACGGTAGCGGTGTTGAAATGACACGATAAACACTTGTAACAGAGCAGGTGTTTGACCTTCCTCTCTTCATGCATTTAAGCTCTGTCGTGCAAATGCATTCTTGACAAGGTCGTGTTTGTGGGATAGTAGCGTTTCTTGATACTTGTCATTTCATACGCGAAAAAGGGGAATCCGATGTTGTTGCAAATTAGTTTCGTATTTACGAAATCTGCTTACAGAACCGTAAACCTTTCTGTGAATTTTTTTAATTGCTGAATAATAAAACATCTGTGGCTACAGCGAGGTCTGTGAAGACACACAATCAGAATATAAATAAAAAATGAGTGCATATAGAATTCAAAATATGTATCTACAAAGGTTATTTCTTTTCTTCAAAATAACGTGTAGTTGCGTAGCATTTTATTAAGATTATTAAGCTATTTAGAACAAGAAACATAATAGTTAATCTTAATCCTGTGCATTTGCCAGGATTTAAACCACGGATCTAAACTGCTAGCTGTACGTGCCGACTACTTACACCATGAGAGCATGCGCGGAAGAATGCGATACTTCCATGTATTCTTCTACACTGAAAGCACGACTGAGTAGACACACGAAGGCCACCCGACCGACTCTACGTAGTGATGAACTATCATTAGCCACAACTTAATTCGGGCACCACTGTAAAGATAATAAATTTTTCGAACCAGGAAACGTAAAATATCAGTTTATCTTTGCCGGCCTAGAACTATGGATAATACGTTCATACTTTCTTTACGTTACATACATGGGATATTTTCGCACACAAATTTTCATTCCAAAATCTGTCTGTTTTGTTTCCCTTTATCAGCCTTTACTTTTTTTTCAAATATTTTAGAATCATGTGTGTAGGTGTATATATATATATATAAGGAGAGAGAGAGTCTGTCTGGGTTTATTAGGCCGCATCAGAAAAATGGCATTTTTCTCGATCCTTTGGATAAATGAAGTTTTATAACTTTGATAATAATAATCTAGCTTTCTACAAAGTCATAATTATTTATTCAAATAAATTATGTAAAAGAAAGTGAGCTATGTATAAATATAATAAAAAACTCTTCTTGTCAAAACTGTTTTCAGTTTGCTTTCTAATCGTTATGTGCTCAAATCTGTGCTTGTTAGCCATAAAAAGACTTTATGGCTAGGAAACAGTGTATATTCTGAGAGTATATTTTGTACTTGAACATGCAACCTGTGTAACACATAATGGTGATGTAATGGTATTGAGATCTGGGAAGTCTGCTGGATGTAGAAGCTTTTATTCACGTTCATGTTCTTTAAAGCATTTTATCACCAGTCTTTCCGCTTGAATTGATACATTGTCATTTAGATACATGGCACGAAAGTCGTTCGAGATGCAAAGTTTTGTGAAATATTTGGTCCAGCGATAGTCATGCTCATGCTTGTCACTGTACTCTGCAGGAAATATTGTTTGAAGAATCTGTGCAGAGCACTTATTCTCTTATGTAATTCTGGTTGATTATAAGTGAATGATATCAGTGCTGACATTTAACGAAGAAGGCAGAAATAAATTTCCTTCACTGCGTCCTTTTATTCATATGTTACAGCAACAGTTCAATGGATTTCAATAAATATATTTAAAGATCGCTAATTCAAAGCGAAGGGAATTCGACGGAAATGAAATTTAAAAAAACTTTAATTTCATTAACAAGCAGTCAGTAGTCGAGCTCGGACAATGAAATACGTGCATCTTGAATGTAATGTATTATTAATACAGAGTTTGACCCTCTTTGGAAGGCTGGTATTGTGGCTATTTTTCTAAGAAATGACAAGTACAAGTTTATTCAAGCATTATAGGCATATTTAGAGATTCATCTTTCAGATTTATTGTTGTTTCACTTTATGATGTGGAGGAAACGCTTTCGAACTTTGTCTTGTAGAAGCCATAGACAGGTACAGTGATGTTGAGATTTGGGAACTCTGCAGGATGTAGATGTTTTTGCTAATTTTTTTATGTTAACCTGCTGTGACACTAGTTTTGCATTTGAATTGGTGCATTTTTATTTTGATACATGGCACGTATTCGAGATGCAGAGTTTGAACATTATAGGTCTTTGAGAGTGACGTGACGTTCAGGAACGATCACTGTAACCAGATATTTCGATGATACTACGGTGCATGAGGCAGCCCGAATTATGTATCTCTAAAGAAGCTAATTTTAAATTCTCACAAGAATAAAGGAAGGTGCAATAAACTCAACGCTGAACAGTATACACCGTGTCTGCAAAAGTCTTTACTCGGCCTTTATTTTCGCAACTGTTGGTCACAGGTATACTTCTAGTTACAAAGTGTTTTAATAATACAAAGATTCATGTTTTGGTATTTTTTAAGTTAAAGAAATCAATTTTTTAAAAATTGGAAAAAAAAAGTCTTTAAATGCTTAACAATTTTGTTTATATGTTGAAAATCCAGGATTGAAGTTTATATCCCAGTTGAAAAGCATGGCTAACCGGATATGCGTCAAAAATGTGAATCGCTTTATTTCTAAGAATTTCTTCCTTAACCTTTGTGAATCCAAATGTAATATAAATGATAACTAGAACTCAATAGATTATCAGAAGTCATTGTGTTTAATATTGCAAAATATTACGATTTTCCGTAAGTTAAATCCTCTAAAGATTAATACTAACCAGGTTTTGAACCTTCCATAGTGTTGCGTCTTGAAGTTCAAATGGAAGCTTCATATTTAATCCCGAAAATAATTTTCTTCTCCTTAATTAATTAGTCTGAAACTAAAACTAAGCTTCTCCCACATAAGGTACTCAAAAGCAATAAATTGATTTTCAGTCTATTTTTCATTGGCGTTGCCGATTTTTCACCAGGAAACTCTGTTAATTCATAAATTGCTTACTTGCCATGGACAAGATTAACTGCAAAGGACATGGGGTACTTTAGGTGGAACAAAGATAAGTGGTCCCTACAATGGGATGTTGAGTGTTTTATCTTGCCTCCGACTGATAAGTCCCCTCGAAAGCGTTGTGTTGTGAAGTACTTAGTGATGCTTGAAATGAAGTACCCCCCCCCCCCCCGAAATTTTCTTTTTCCCTTTCTTTTTTTTTTTTTTTTTTTTTTTTTTTTTTTTTTTTTTTTTTTTTTTTTTTTTTTTTCACTTTCAATTGTAATTTTACGATTTTATTCCGATGATTTGGTTCTTAACCCAAAATTTTACCAGTATACTGCAGATCGTTGAGAGTTTTTACTTTTTTCCACCAATATATTTTTCTTTGTTTTATTTATTTAAATCATTGCTTCCCAATCTTTTTGGACTCGCTCCCATTTCGAGTTTTATTTTGCTTAGCTTTCTGCAGCTTTTGCAGTGGTGGTGTATTAGATGCCCTTTGATTGTATTCTTTAGACATTGTCTGAAAACGTATAAAAATATTTAGGTAATTTGAAGCATATGCTCTTCATCAATATGTTAATTAAAACTCATATAGAAACAAAATAATTAAAAAAATTTTCCAGCATTCGTAAGTAGTGATTGATAGTAATGAACTTCCGAGACATGAAAAAAATTTTTTAGTCAGCACACACAGATTCTGTTGAAAGAACATACTACTTCGAAGACCTGGCTGTCACAAGTATATATTTGTAGTTATGTTTTTAAAATATCGGACTGATATTTTTTATAAGTTCCGATGTCTTGGAAAAAAAAAAAAAAAAAAAAGACTTACCTTGAATTTGGACCAGCATGTATGAGTCAGGTGACATTATTTGGTGTGATTTTTGTAAAGATGCGTGACTGCAATATTTCCGTAGTCAAGTGAATATTTAAATGCTTTTTTGTTTCAAAAGTGTTAAGCAACGAAACTTTTTAAGCATACTCTTATTTCTCACTTACTTGTACCCATCAGTAAGCAAGCTGTGAAAGCGCTGAACACTGATAGTTCGACTGTGATTCAGATCTGTGTGAACAGCTGGCTACTTGGAAGTTTTCCTGATTTTCCTGATTTGTAATTACTTCATGTGTAGAAACTAGATACCCCTTAAAATATTCTTCTCTAAAGCATCTATCTCCTTATTCAGATACCCCGTGTATTATGCGATTGTATGAATAATCTAAATCAGTGCTTCTCGTTGCCATCTTATAGCCTCTTGGGCCAACAATGCCCCCCCCCAAATTTGTTCAGCTCTCATCAATGGGGAGGGGGGCATTTCGTAATAGGTGCCCCATTATAAAGATGCATGCACCCTCAGGTGGACCGTAATTCGAAAAGACGGAAACCTTAATAAGGATGCCCCAGCATAAAGACATGCAGGGTTAGGAAGGTTAGTTTCTAAACTTGGAGGGGGGTTAATAAAAAAGTACGGACACCGTTATGCAAATCTGATTTTAGTGTGCAAAGCTAAGTAACTAGACAAATTAGATGTATGCAATGCAAGCTAGATGTATTTTGAAAACTAAACTAATAATTCTAGTTTTAAAGTCGCAGAATTATTTGAATTTCAAGAAATCTGTAAAAATCCCTTAAAATTCGCAAAAATCTATCCTAAAAATTCTTGCCGCATTAAAATTACTTTGCTGTTATATATTTTGACAAAAATAGCATTTATTTCGATTGCTTTGGATAATGGTTTAACCCTTCCTAGTTAATATTTCAACTCTTTTTCTTTCGTTGCATTTAATTTTGAAGCATACATAATGTGTGTGCTTTGTTTTGAAACATGGTTTCTTCCCTCTTCTTGCAGACTGGGACTGTGCCTCTGTTGGAGCTTGTGATGACATTGCTGGATACGAGGCAATTCGTAGTCTCCATCGACAGCTGGACGACGATGCTAATGGCAGCATTGATGTCTCCGAGACCGACGAGGTGAGTCAAGTTTTATAGCAATGTTATTTGCTCTGTGATTTAGTTTCTTTTATTATAGTAACAAGATAGACATACCCATGTTGCACAAGAATTTGTTGGGGATGTCTTAAAGCCGCTGCTCACAAGCTGTGTGCACATCCTTGAAGTACCCCGAAATGCCCCCTTTGCTTTCCAAAGGCCCAAGTTAAAGTCTCATCTCAGGATATCCTTAAGACATCCCTGAATGTCTCTGCGGACTTCTCGGACATATCCTTCCTAGTGCTTAAATTCCTGATCTATTAATGATTTGTTTACTATTTGATGTTCGTATTAAAACAGCATCATGAATTTCGTTTTGCCATAGTTAGACTTTTATACTAACAAATTGACTAATGTAACCGAATCTCGTATGGTAGGTTCCAGTAATTTGAGTCTTTCAGGAACTAAATGGAGAAAATTGTACATAACAGGCTTATTTACATGGGAAGAACCGTAGCTGACTTGTTCAAAAGGTTCTCCTAACTGTTAATCCGTCTGTAACACGTAATACTTAGGTGGTCTCAAACAGCGCCTCGCTATCAGTAACTTGAGCTGATTGTTTCACAGAACGTCAGTCGGTTTTCACAGTAGCAAGGTTTAGCACACTGCAACCCACATTAGCTAGCATTCAAAGTGTATTGTTAATGTTTATGCTTGCAAGTTGTCTAGTGGGTGTTACAATACAAATATAAGTCAGTTTGTCTTAAGGGATGTATTATACTTGTAATTATTTGAGGAAGTCAACTGTTTAGAATAATTTTTTACTATACTTTGCATTGAAGGAAACGTGTTCTTCCTTATCTATCTATAAAAAAAAATAAATAAATAAATAAAAAAAATTCAGGTTACATATTTTTCATCCCATTAGCTCTGGACGTCATCCAAAATACTTTTAAATAGTAGTTAAACTGTAGAGACATTAGGTAATTTTTGAAACAAAAGATCGGGAAAAATGTGCAATGTCCTCGCCGGGACTCGAATCTCGAGCCTCTCGAATACGCGCCGAGCCTGCTAATTATTACACCACGAAGGTATGCTAAGAAAGCGGGAGAAATACCTTATAATACTGCCTGTTTAATATATTACGTTGTACACGAAATCTATATTGCGTTCCTGTATACATTAATACAATAGCAAACCTCTATAATTAATTCTTTTTCATGCGACAAAAGCGGACGTAGTACTGACAATAGCATGACATTCACCTCAAAGCAAATAAGCATTGAAAGAAAAATCCTACATACTATATGTGCATGTGCTCGTATAAGTTCATATGTTTAGTCAATTGCTGAATTAAAGCAATTAATTCAACTATGTGTGTTTTTCTTCCAATTTTTGAAAGTACAGGATTCCTAAGAAAAAAATGGATAATGTGAAGAAATAATTACTATTTATTTCCATGTGTAACATTGTAAGGTTTCTTCTCTCCGTGTGCCTTTGTGGTGTAACTGGAAGCACATCCGGCTGTCAGAAGGTCCAGATCTGAGTTTCGGCGAGGGCATTACATATTTTTCACATCTCCTGCTCCGACAAATCTGATGGCTCAACAACATTTTTTTAACGTTCTTGGGTCCAAAATATTTTTAAAAATGTGTGAAAAGGTTCAGATTTTGACGACTGCCCAAAAAGGCTCTTTGAAAGTTTAATATGCTTTATCAGTAGGGATTATCAATAGAAATGGCCCAGAGGAAACAGCGAAACATTTATAGATACTAGAGGAATGTACATTTAGACTAACGTGTAAACATTATATATCGTCCGTATGTTCGAAAAATGGAAAAAAAAAAAGTATAACATAATTATATAAAAGTATTTAATGTTTCTCATTAGGTGTATCATGATTTAAATTCATTTTTATTTATATCAATCAGATTAAAAAGTAAAAAATAATATTTCTAAAAAGTGCATCTATTGCTTTTAAGCAGCTTAATCAATACCAGACAGATTCATTTCGAAAAACAAATATCTTACATTTTGCCAAATGGCAATAACTCGAATGAAAAGTGAAACAACGTATTAGTGGATGACATTTAAAGTGAATCAATGCATTTATAGTGGATGACATTTAAAGTGAATCAATGCATTTATAGTGGATGACATTTAAAGTGAATCAACGCATTTATGGTGGATGACATTTAAAGTGAATCAACGCATTTATGGTGGATGACATTTAAAGTGAATCAAAGAAAAATTGTGTTTTGAGACTAATAGCCGTTTGTGCTAATAACATTAAAAGTATCGTAAAAACAAGAATAAGACGGATATGTATGATATGTTTTTTTTTTTTTTAATCATAAATACGAGGGGTATTGGGAGCAGTTAATTTAAACACACGCGTACGAAAATTTGCTTGAGAAATTGTTTCGGGGGTTGTTACGGCTTTCATGGACATCCGGCAGCAAAAATCTGTGCTTCATTTCCTTTTATCATTTGCGATATAATTATTTTTTAATGAATGACAGATTTTTGCATTTGATGATTTCCTGAAATGTAATTGAGCAAGAAAACAGGTATTTGTTTCATTGCATCTTTGAAATGGTTCTAATGCATAATGGAAATTTAGCGATAAAAGCGTTTGAAATTATGCAAGAAGGTTTTGAGAGCACTTTTAAAAAACAATGAAATTTTAAGTAGTGTAAGCTGTTTAAAGAAAGCAGAGAGCACCTTGAAAATCAGTGCTCTGATAGACAGTTTCTCGCTTCAGGTAAATAAGATCGATCAAGTAACAAATTTGATGTTCAGCGATCCGATCATCGTTTACCATTTAAGGATGTTATTAAGCAAATTCTTTCATCATATTCATCCTGCTTTATCGGTTGTGGAAGATTATTTGAGTTTACGGAGTTATGTATCTCGAGTTATTCCAAAAGCGATTAATTTTTTTTTTTTTTTTTTCAAAAGTAAAAGAGTTTTAATTTACACCATGAGAGGCTTTCTCAAAACGAGTGCTTTTTAAAATACTACTTGCGGTAATGCAACATGTAACTTCGCCATTGTTACAAACGCACCTTGTCAGTTAAGTGAAAACTGTCGAAAGATGAAACAAGGCCAAAAGGAACTCGTCAAATTCTCTCCGAAATCAAGGTAATGTTAACTTTTTTGTTCGATTTACCGTGGTTTGTGTGTCATGAATTTCTATCAACTGGCAAAACTGTTAACAAAGAATATTATTTGAGTATTTTGAGATGTTTATTTACAGCAAGTTATAGAACACATAATGAATTATGGCGAGACAGCTGATGGATTTTGTACTGCTATAATTTACCTCCTCATAATGCTCTTACCGTTTATGACCTTTTGGCAAAAAATTTTGTAGCACTGTTCCGTAAGTTCCGTATTAATTTTATATGGCACCATTTGAATTTTTCTTATTTCTGCTATTAAAATCACCACTTCGTGATTACTGTTTTGAGCTTGTTGATGCAATAAAAGAAAATTCGTTGTCAATCTTAAAAGAGTTTTTGTACAAAAAGACTGTCAAATATCTGTTGAAGATTGGAAGATGCTTTGACATAAGCACACTGCAGTCGGGATGGATTACTTGGAAGAGGATGTAATAATTGTGACCTTTTGTTTTATGCAATCGTTCTCGATACGTTTAATCACAATATTGTGTATAAAATGTACTTTCATCTTGGAAAATGTGGGGAGAGAAGAACATCTACTAACATCGCATTGCCTTTTCAATTTTTCATGAAGTTGGTCCTAAAAATGTCTGCTGTTTTTTCTATCTCTGGCTGTCGTGATGACTGATGTGGAGACTGTATTCTAGGGTGATGTGAAACCTTGAAGTATGGTAGTTTACTTGAGTGCTAAGTTTTTCTTTTATACATTTGCTTGTAGGCGTTCCAAACACATTCCAGTCTTGAGCAAAATTAAATGTACCATTTGAAATCTTTCATGCAATTAATGCTTGAAACATAATGCTAACGCTGGTTTCACTCTTCTCCCCCTCGTAAAAGTGAAAATTCTATTCATATTTCTTTCGGGTATTTCGTGTTATAGAATTTTTCATAAAAGCAAAAAATGAAGTTTATAATTTAATATTAGAATTTAATTATTATCTCCTAGGAACGGTATTTCAGTATTATTTTTAATTAAATAAAGTGAATTAAATTAATATGCAAGTTAACTAATTTAGAAGTGTGAAATATAAAAGTCATATTGGGCTGAAAAATAGTAACCATTAAAATGAAATATTAAATTTTATCTAACATATCTATGATACATTATAAAATTATACAAATGAAACAAATGCTGAAAAATTTTTACAATAGTAACAAAATGAAAAAATTAAAATTAAATTATTGTTTGTTTGCCAAAGAAGAATTGATTTTTTTCTAAGGTGAAATAATTTTCCTTTAAGAGATGCACAAATATGTGTGTGTGTGTGTGTGTGTGTATAGCGACATTATTATTAATATGAGATTAATAAATAATTATCCTCGATTTGATGATATAAGTAATTTCACTTTCATGCATATATTTGAAAAAATAACAACTGCAATGTGATGGCAGGATTTTTATTTGCGTTTGATTAAGTTTACCAAATTTCATATCGTATTTTGATTGAAATAAAATCGCGAGAAAGTTTTAAACTGGCTTTCTTGTATTTAGAAACAATAAATTTCTTTATTATTATTATTATTTTACCTAGCGGAGAAGAAGAACTGGATTCCAGCAAAATGTGTAAGAAATTAAAAAGTAGCTGTTCTAAACTTTTGAGATTTTTTTATCCCATAAAGGTATAGTAAACATTCAACTCTGAATGTTTGCTATATTTTTCAGTTTTTATTATTTTATTTTGAACCGTTTGATTATAATAAAATGTAAAACTACAGTGGTTCTGTTGTTGAGATTGATACCGGATGAAAATAATAATTTTAAATATGAGACTTGTGCAGGCCTCAATAAAATATTTTTCAAACATAGTGCTCTTTTGTGTTGGGATTTTGTTTTCCGTTATTTTCTTTGAAAAATTA